CACGCGCTTGTGCAAATGCAGAACGTAGCTAGGAAATTGCAAACTGCAAGGAAAGGATTTAATATACATTTTTGGCATTTTACAAAGTATCCTCTTGAGCATTAATTATAATTTTTCTGAATCTAGGAAAAAGTGTTCTTCTAACGTGTCTCTTTGCAGTACACTGATCTCACGTAAAATCGACACAGACAACTTTTGCCTTAAGGGTGGTTAATTTGCATTTTATATGCATTGGTGTAGAACAGCGGTTTTTAACTTGTGGGTCACAACACCTTTGTGGTTACATATCAGATATCCTGCATATCAGATGTTTACATTATGATTCATAACAGCAGCAAAATTACAGTTATGAAGTAGCAATGAATTAATTTTACGGTTTGGGGGCACCACAACGTGAGGAACTGTATTAAAATGTCATAGCATTCGGAAGGTTGAGAGCCACTGATGTAGAATATCTGTCTGTGGGTTGGGTGTATAGTTCAGTGGTAGAGTACTTGCTTAGCATCCTTGAAGCCATGGCTTCAATTCCCAGTACAGAAAAAGAATAGAAAAAAATTTATTATTTTGCGTATGTGGCAACCTTCCATTTTCAATTACTGAAGTAGATGAAGCAGTGTGTAATTCCTCCTAGAGAAAATAAGTATAAACATACATTAGTAACATACCTGAAACAGGCTGTGTTTTACGCTGTTTGTAATGTGTTTTACACATTTTTGTCTTTAGCCACTGCAAGTAAAGGCACATCACACAAGACTGGAATCGCAAGCAACATTCTGGATGCAATCTCCCAGGGAAGCGAGTCCCAGCATGTCCTGGAGAAATGCATCGCTTATTCGCCACCTTTCGAGGATTATGCCCAGGTAAAGGATGCACAGGCCATGATAGGGAAAGTGGCTCAGCTCTACCTGATGCCGCTGAGTGTGGAAATATGACTACTTTAGCACTCTGAGAACACGGGATAGTTATCTCATGCTCATCTTTTAAAATTTGGGAATAGGTTCAAGAAACTATTTAATATTATTTTAAACCAAATATTTACCTCTTACGGTTTTAAGTCTTCAAACTGCAGCCCTTATACCACACCCAGCCTGTCACCTGCTTTTCGGTTGGACGTAGCCCCATCCATTCATTTACATATTTCCTATGGTGCAGCCGTACCCAGTGGAACAGACTTGCACAGCTTACAAGGTTAAATATTTATGCTACCTGACTCTTTCCTGAAAATTCTGCTGACCTCTGTTTTACGAGAATATAAACCTTAAGAACCCAAAGGGGAGAAAGCTCCCTTCACCCTTCATCATTGCTTAGAGGTGGAGGAAATGCTCACATTTCCAGGCGTTCCCATACTAGCTTTAGCAGGCTGTTTGATAGCCCGGGCTGACCTCAAGCTCACAGTGCCTCAGCCTCTGGAGTTCTGGGCTTACGTGTGTACACCACCGCGCCCAGCTGTATACCAAAGCCACACAGCATAAAAGAAGAGCCAACCCCCAGGATCTTTAGGTTTGTTCCAGGACTCCTGTGAATACCCCATCTGTGAATGCTAAGTTCATATCTGTACGGTGTCATGTATGCAGTCTTTCTGGGCAAATCTCCTTCATGCATCGATGCTCTGTAGATTACACACAGTAGTTAATGTGTTGGAAATGCTATGCAAATCCACTGCGTTGCTTAGGGAATAATAACAGGAAAAGCAGCATGGTTTCGGTGCGGGTGCAGTTTTTCGAATATTTCCCACATACAGTTGGTGGAATATATGGTTACAGAACCTGTGAACGTGGAGTATGAGTCTAAATTATGTCCTAAAGATAAATTAATATGAGGTAGTGGCCTTTCTTAACTTAAAAACTGGGGGTCAGAGCTGATGTCATGAGGAAGACATTCTCGCTTCCTAAGGTTCCATCTTTGTTCATGGATGCAGTAATTATGCAGATAAGCACACTGGAGATTGATTATATGTAAGGGGCAAAAGTTAAATTATTGGAGATAAAGTTATTATGAATATACAGTTGTGAAGATTAGAAACAACCAAAATATTCAACTAAGACTGAGTAAGCAAATTATGTTGTTTTTACTGTAAATATAATTCGGAAATTTAAAATGATGTAAAATAATGTGTAAACATATCCTAAAATCGTCATTAAAATAATAGTCACAAAATGTGGTTTGTATAGGAGAACAAGTTGTACTTTTCATAGCAGAAGAAACAATACATTTTTAAGAATCTAGCAAAGGTATGCATTTTAAACATCAAAGGAAGTTCACACTGTTCTGAACTGAGCTTTTCATTTGAGTATGACATTTGAAATTCGTCTTCAACTCTGCTAACTCGGTTCTTAGATGGTGGCGGTGAAGCCGATATGTGCTGTATGGAGCTGGTCACTCTCCTGTGGAGAGGTTCCGAGTGGAGCCTTGCATCTCCATGCTTTGAACACTTGTCACTTCCTTTGCAACGTGTCCTAGTCTGCTTCCCTGTCACTGTGATAATCACCAAGACCAAAAGTGACTTGGGGAAGAAAGGGTCTACTTGGCTTGTACTTCCAGATCAGAATCCATCGTTGACGGAAATCGGGGCAGAGGGACCCGGGAGCAAGAAGCATGGAGGGAAGTTGGGTTGGAGGGACCTGGGATCAGGAAGCCTGGAGGGAAGTCAGGACGGAGGGACCCAGGAGCAGGAAGCTTGGAGGGACATGAGGCAGAGGGACCCAGGAGCAGGAAGCGTGGAGGAATGCTGTTCACTCTTTGGCTTGCTCAGCTAGGTTTTTTATACAGCTCAGACCCACCTGCTTAAGGATAGTGCTGTCCACAGTGTACTGGACCCTCCCAAATTAATTATTAGTAAAGACAACTCTTAGAGACTTGGCCACTGACCAGTCTGACATAGGCAGTTCTTCAGTTGAGGTTCCTTCTTCCCAAGTGACTCTAGGTTTTTGTCAAATTGACAATAAAAACTAACTAGGCTGGGCAGTTGGTGGCGCACACCTTTAATCCTAGCACTTGGGAGGCAGAGGCAGGCGGATCTCTACATGTTCTGGGCCAGCCAGATCTAGTTCCAAGGCAGCCAAGACTACACAGAGAACCTCTGCCTTGAAAACCAAGCAAACCAGTCACCCCCCCCCCCAAAAAAAAAAAGCTAGCCAGGACACAGTGGTGAGCATTTATCATTATCACCAGCATCGATGAGGGATTGGGCCAAAGGTTCTGTACACATTAGGCAAGCACACTACTCTTGTGCTATATCCCAACTCAGTTTTTAAACATTTTTTAAAAATAGTGCTGGGATTGCACTTGTATGTGTTAGACTGTGTAAACATTTCACCTTTCTCCCATGCCCGTGAGTTCTAAACGACCCCCGGCCTGGCGCACGTGGAAGAGCACAGAGGCGTAGTTAGCGCTCTGCATTTCTGCAGCTTGCGAAGGATTGCTCAGACTGCAAAGCCCAGCCCGTGTTGCTCTTGTAGCTCCCAGAAACTGTGTAAGTTTTTATACCTCAGAGATGGGAGAGATGGTTGTGTCTGATACTAGATAATATAATTTCTCCTTTAAGTAAAGCTATCGCGTTTAAGAATTTAATATTTGGTGTTTCTAATGATCATGAAGTTATTGTCATAAACCCCTGATAAAATCCGGAGTCGACACTGGGGAGATTCGGGCAGATGAGTTCAACGCCAGCCTGATCTACAGAGCAAGTTCTGGGGCAGGTAGGGCTTTTACACAGAGAAGCCCTGTCTCAAAAAACCAAACCAAAACAAAAATCTGGGGTAGATTTGAACAAAGTAGCTTCTGTTGGAAGTATTGGAGACTAACCGGTAGAAACCGAAGGGAGTTGGGTCCTGAGAGAGGGGAATTCCCCTCAATGACAGCCATGTTTCTGTGACTCTTTGCTTGACTTCTTTTTCTGTGCAAACTCTGCAATCTCACTGGCCTGCGGAGTTTGAGTAAGCCTTAGGACTGTTGGGTAAGTTGTGAAGTGAGGGGTCCTGAAACAGGGAAGGAAGTGCATGGGTAGGAGCACCCATGAGCGCCGCCGAAGTCACTGTGGAAACTGGGCCCAAACACACTTGATCCCTGAACTGCTGGCGTGAGGGAGACACCAGGAAACCTGGTAGAGAACCACAGCTTGATGGTCAGTGAAGCCCAGCAGAGAAGAAAGCCTGGACTTGGGCTTAAACTTCTAGAATAGATAAATATTATCTTCAGGGGAAGATAATAGAATCCACACCTTTTACATTTTTCATCCTTCGGGTCCAAGACTTAAAAAGTACTAGGAAGTTGAGCCTGGAGAGATGAATCAGCAGTTAAGAACATTGGCTGCTCTTCCAGAGGATCTGGGTTTGATTCCCAGAGCCCACATGGCAGCTTATAGCCATGTCTCAGCTCCAGTGCTGGGGATCCAACACCCTTTTCTGGCCCCCATGGGCACCAAGCCTACATGTGGTGCACAGACATACATGCAGGCAAAACATCTATACACATAAAAGAGAGTTAAAAATCATACAAGGAAGACAGAGCCCCATGATGTCCAGGTGTTGGTATTAATTAACAATGACATTAAAACATCAATGTGTACAGTGACATAAAGACGTCATGGGCAAATAGGGGATCTCAGACAGAGCTGACACATTTGAAGGAACTGAATAATTCTAGAACGGACAGAATTTGTTTGTGATGTTAAAAATGACCTTTGATGGGTCCAGCACAAGGCTGGGAAAACAGGAAGAAAAGATTCACGCTCATAAAGCAGCAGGAAGAAGGGAGACTGGAAACCAATGCGCAGACTCTTGGGAGCCCCAGTAACAGACCAAGCAGCTGGAAGTACATATCTGAAGAGGAGATAAAGTTAACAGGATGTCTTTGCTGGGGTTTCCACTGTTGTGAAAAGACACCATGACCACAGCAGCTCTTACAAGGAACACTGAAGTAAGTGACTTGCTTACAGTGCCAGAGGTTCAGTCCATTCTCATGACGGGGAGCATGGTGGAGCGCAGGCAGACGTGGCATTGGAGAAGAAGCTGAGAGTCCTGCATCGTGCAGGCAACAGGAAGTGGCCTGACACACTGGGCAGAGTATCCTGAGCATAGGAAACCACAAAGCCCGCCCCCAACAGTGACACACTTCCTCCAGCAAGGCCATACCCACTCCAACAAAGGCCCTCCCTATGGGAGATTATAGGTGCTAATTATGTTTAAACTACCGTACAGAGTATAAACTATCTGAAAAGCTAATGGTCAAAACTTGCTTCAAAAAGACTTAGAGCTCTAATGGGCAGAGTCTCCCCTTGAGAGGCAGGAGAGTTTTATCTACACATGGTAGTGCGCAGAAGTCATACTTGGGAAGGGATGGTCTGGGGAACAGCAGTGCATGCAGTCCGGAGCTCTTCCGCCTGGGCACCTCTGACATCTGGGATCGAATAACTGCCTGTTGGCGCCTCCCTGCATGTCTCGTGATGTTTAGGAGTCTTGTCTTGTACCCATTTGACTTCTCCAGCAATGAGAGCCACCGTTATGACTGGCAAAATGTGAAGAGGCGACCGGTTTTCCTTTCCTTGATTTATTTAATAGCAAAAATCGTACGGTGGTATCGATGGCTTGGTAATACATGAGATAGTCATTTTACAACACTAATGCCGGGGACAGTGCGGGGCAAGTGAGGTGTGATGATGATGGATTACATTTTACGTGAGTGTGCATTGCCATACATAGGGTAGTGTTGGCAGACTGCTCAAAGAACTGTGGCAGCATGTCAGTAGTTTAATGTCAGTTAAATTCTAAAAACATTTGGCCAAAGTATATTGTATGAAAACATTTTAATTAAACTTTAGAAAGAAGATCTGGGTGTTGAAAACTAAAAAAAAAATCTAGGT